TAGGTCAGTAGGCTACCTTATGAAAATGGATTGTCCTATAGTCTCCACCGGATCTGAAAAGTACAGTATGGCTCCATCCTTTAGCCTGCAGTCCATCTTCAAATATCTAAAGAATGCACTGAAAGCTAGTATTAAAGACAATTTCAGTCGATCACCTATTGCAACAAGGAGCAAAAATGCCATGAAAAAAAATTAATATGTTTCTCATAGTTTCTTCTGTCAGAAAAAAAATGTATTTGATGCAAATGCCTAGGCACACTCTTAAGGTAAACTATTGTATGTAATAGATTATTTCTTCACTTTTGGCTGAAGCTGTTATGTTATGTAAGGTGCAATTTTGAATTCGGTGGTTAGGCTTTATTTTAGTTTTTGAAAGGATACTTTGTACAAATTTGTAATTTAGTGACAGTTTTTTCTTTCAATGTCTTACAAATAAATTCTTTGACAAAGCTTTTTAAAAACTCATTTAATCTGAACTATCAGTAAAACAATGAAAATGTAAATAAGATAAACATATATCAGAAATAAGTTTAAAATCTTGTTTGAAATATTAGTCAATTACCTGTACTTCAGATTAGCATAATTTTAAATGTTTTAAACCTCAGAGTACATTTATAGTATATCTATTCAAATCAGCAGAGAAATGTTCAACATTTCACAAAAATTACTGTTTAAAATTGTATTTATCTGATAGTACCACATCAAATTAGATTGATCTTATCTACTGTTAATATTAAGACTTTTTTAAAAAAGTTACTTTTAAAAAATCCCTTTTCTCTCGATTATTATCTACATTTTCAGTTCCATTTTACTTGAATACTGTTCTTTTTAAATGGTTCAGATTGGATTTAAATTACAATTTCAGTCAAGAGCCAATATTAAAACAAAGTAACATATTAAAATAAACATAAATCTCATATAAAAATTTCAACTTTCAAAAAGTATGAAAAACCAGGTTGAAAAGATGGGACATTAAAGTGTTTTTACAGGACTGTAAAAAATGTAGACTGAATATCTACAGAAAATGCATTCTACAACTTAGAGATGACAGAATAGACTGAATCCCAATTCATCACCAGGTGATTGGTATATTGAAAAATGAACTGACAATCTTAGAAGCAAGAATCATAGATACACTCAAGACAACTTGAGTCTAGATGATTTAGGGTTACTGGTGATAATCAGCATGTTATATGTCCTCTAGGAACTGGCAGACAGTGCAGCCAATTCCCAGAGGAACAGACATACATACTACCTCCAAATAGTCCTTGAACATTCTTCTACTGCATTTTGAACATGCAGAAGTTTCTGAGCTACTATAAAGCACTCCAATATAGAATACATTGAAGTAGTGTAGTCTGAAAGTTACCAGATACGCTACAGTGTGATTTTATTTTCAAGGAACAGATAGAGCTGGTTTTTTTTGGTTAGTGAAAAGCACTATTGGTCAAAGCTTTAACCTGAGGAAACAGGATGTGACCAGGATCTAGGAGGGTTCTCAAACTGTGCTATTTTTTTTCTGGACAATACAGCCCTGTCCTCTAGTTCAGGGATCCCCAACCCCCTGTCCGTGGACCGCATAGCAAAAACTGGTACATGCAAACAAGCAAAGCCCCATCCATGGGATGCAGGCAGCACAGGAAACCATGCCCCCTCCGGTCCATGGAAAAACCTCTCTCCACAGAACCGGTCCCTAGTGCCCAAAAGGTTGGGGGTCGCTGCTCTAGATCATGATCCTTCAAAATAAAGATTTCCACTTTGTCTGATTTTAATTTCATTTTATTATCCTGCATCCAGCCCCTGTGGACATACATTTTAAAAAATATTGCCCCTTCTTGTGACTGAAATAGAGAAAAAGATTTGAGCATCATCAACCCATCTGTAATGCCTAGCACCAAACTTTAGAACTAACACAGCCTGATAGTCTTACAGAAAGGATTGATAAATCATCTATTAGACTAAGGCTGTCTTCAAATTAGTTTGAAGTATGTCTAGATAATCTTTCTTGAAGCTGGTTAGCCACAACCTCTTTATAACTTTTCCCAAATACAGGAGACTAACCTACAATTTAAGAGACATATGGTAGATTTATTAATGTCTAAACAAGACATTCTATCCTTTCTCAATGAAGTATTAGCTAGGCCACAGTGAATTCAGCCACATTGGGCAAGAATCCAAATAGGCAGTGAATTGTACCATTCAAAGCAGCTTGCCCATATCCTCCAAAAGCACAAATTTATCCAATATTAATCTTATAAATTACTGGGCAACACATTACTGTAAATGACTCTGCAAAAATATTGAAATTTAAATTTTCTCAGCTGCAAAGGCTTTCTGCAAAAATCCATTAAAAATATCAAAGTAAGTCATAGCTTCTTACAGCAAATTTGAAACCGCTTTAACTATCTGGGAAAATTTTGCTGGATAGAAGCAGGTTGTGCCTTATGCCCAGAATAAAATTGCATATTTGTTGTACATATAGTGTAGTACCAGTTTGCTATGCCTTAGTAATTTATGATGAATCCTCTTCTGTGTTCTAGTTATTTACCTTGTCTGTATACTATAAGCTAATTTTGAAGAGAACTAGAGAGGCTATTTAGGAGTGATCCTATCTCTCACTCTAAAGAGTTCCCTATTCCAAGGGCAATTGACAAAATCACCTTCATAAGCAACGGTAAAATGGTAAAACTCTAACGGCCATCACCCTTGTGCTTTGAGCAAAAGACCAGATCCAGCATGAAAACAGCACTGTGACTCAGCACTGGAATAAATAGGATAGTGTTATATTGGTTTTGGCATCTATGAATTCCTGGAACACACCAAATAGCATCAGAAATGTATTCTGGGATTTGCCACCAAGATTTGCATCTATATGAAATCTCTTGGAAAGGTAACCTGATGGTTCAGGATAGTTTCACCAATACGATGATATCCAGTTATACAGCTTTGCCCCAGGCCCAATGGGAGATACTGTAAATTTCCCATGTTGGTGCCTGAAGGCTGTCAAGGAAAAACACACTCAAACTTCACTCTATATTACAGAATGGTTGTTAAATCATAAGTTTTCTGATTCCAGGATTGTATCATCTTTGACTCTTTACTGGCTATGCTGCCCATAATGCAAATTTGAAACCTCGAGTCTTTCTGAACAATCAGCTCCCATACACAGCATGGTCAGGGGGGCCTTTGTCTGATAAACCAGTTGCAACTCAAAGGTGCTTTTTCAAGAGGCAACTGGACTTGCTTGTTTTTCTTTGAAGACGTTTCGCATCTCATCCAAAAAAGCTTCTTCAGCTCTGACTGGATGGATTTTGCAACCTTATTTAGAATATAATATTCTGAGGACAATCATATACGCCTTTGTCTTCTGATTAGATTAATATGGGGCTGCCCTTGAACACTCCCCAGAAGTTTCAGGTGGTCCAAATTGCAGCAATCCAGTTTGGTCTAGTGGTTAAGGCACCTGGATAGAAAGTGGGCCACAGTTCAAGTCCCACCTTACCATAAAAGCCAGTTGGCTGACTTTTGGGTCAGTCACTCTCAGTCCTACTCACTTCACAGGGTTGTTGTAGGGAACATAGGAGGAGGGTGTGTTGGACATGTTTGCAGCCAAGGTAGGATACAAATAAATAAATAAACCGATGTGCTCAATGGTCAGTCTTGATACTGCAGAGTTGAATTGGTTGGAGTCCATTTCCAAGTGAGCTGGTCACCAGCTTTAAAGCCCTATATGGCCTGAATATTTAAGAGACTTGTCTTTCCCAAATATACTGTCTCATCTAGATGAGCAGTGTCTACAAAGGATCCTGACCTATCAGACATTATGGCAGAAAGGTGGCCTAATATCAGGTATTCTGCTCTTATGGAATAGCTTGTCCCGAGCTGAATATGTCCCTCCTTGTGGCAACCTTGGAAGCTAGTAAGAACATGGCTTTTCAGGCAGCTTTTGAAGATTGATTCTAGAGCTATAGGCATCTATATATGTATGTCTCTGTATAGAAATCTATGCATTTTTTCTTATTGATGTTTTAAAATAGATTTGCACAAATAGATAAACTGGCAACTCCATAATCAGTCATACTATTTTATGAAATCTATTAGTGAAAGGACCATACACATAAAATTCTCACCTTATCCTGGAGTTCTGAAGAAAAGGAAAGAAGGATAAAAATCTGTTCTCTCCAGGCATCCTGGTAAAAATTACCTATCTAGTTTTAGGAACCATAGCTATAATCTGCTCTCCCAACATTCCGGAACCCACTTCACAATAGAAACAGAAGACAGAGTTCACCTTTTCTCATAGCCAGGTCTCAATTTTATCCACAATAATCAAATCATAAATAATTTTTGCTCTAAAATGACCTGTATCTACAGAGAAGATTAAATTATCCAGTTAGAATTGTTCCATATTTGTCAGCAGTTCTATTCCCCACAACTAGAATAATTGCTCCTACTTTACAGAACAATTCTGCTATTCCTCCCTCAACCATTCTATAATCAGTCTGTTTGAAACCATGAAAACAGACATTAAACAGCTCCCCCAAAGAACTCAGGTAGTAAGTTTGGGGGTGGACAGGAGGCAGGCTATCTACTGACAGCTGTATATAAGGCATGATTCCATCTTTAAAAGTCAAAGATTTTAGCACCACATCTCTCACATGGACTCCAAATTCTGGTTGATAAAATAGTTTTAGAGCTAAAACTTATCAGGACAAGCAGGACAAAGGCAAAAATATTTACAATTTTTTTCACTATCTCTAGGTCAAAAGGAAAAGGCAAAACAAACTTAGAGTGATTTCTATGGCTGGGTTCACATATGCTAAGTTGTGATTTAATTGTAACTTATTTAATGTTAAGCTATCACATGATTTATTTGGTTTTGTCTTTCTATCACGTGTGAAAAAGTTTCTATTTTTGTTTATAGTCCAAGGCATTTGTTTGCTTTAGATCAGGTTCCTTTATTTAAAAATTTAAGAGAAAAATGTAGGCTATAAGCTAATAACAATAGCAATTCAGCAACTTGATGACATACATAACTTTAAGGAAAATAATGACAGAAAATCTGTCTGTTTTAATATTGACCAATATGATCATGCAAAGATTAAGATTACTTCTTTTTGCTGACTTAGTTGGGACACGTGTTCAAATAAGCCATGGCATAATCAGTCTTAGGATGTGCCCATTCCAACTTTCATTTATTTCCAGAAAGGGCATTTAAATGTCTTTGTAGAGAAGTTCATACTTCGGAATATTCTTTGGATCAATTGGGCTTCGTACAATGAGTTTTCCACGCATCGCTCCACGATAGATCACTTCAATCAAATCTATGAAGTCTTGTTTTGTTTTGAAACTTCCCACAAATTTGGTATGATCTGGAGATCTATTTAGGAAAAGAAATATGAAGCCAATTTTAAACAACAATGTTATAGTTGAAATTCAAAAATACAAGTAGTTCAAAATCTGAATCTACCAAGCCCCTCACCTTTACAAAATATATTTGTTAGTGTTTTATATAACCTTGCAAGATCAAATTAAAAGTTCATCCAGTCTCGTGTATCTCTCAAGAATCTTCATAAATGGGTAATGAAACTTATAAGTTCCAGGACCTATGACCAGGAGTTTCTATTTAGACATTATGGCTAGCAATCAATGACAGAGCATTACCTATTTCTGACAGAAAGCTGATTTACAAGATGTGCTTCACAATATAAAATTAACTGCAACCGTGTTTTATGATAGAACTATTTACATACAGATTCAATATGCCTGGTAATATGTTTTTATCATTTGTAATAGGACTTCATTTTCAGAAATCCAACTTGGGAATCTATGATCCATAGTCTTCAACATTAATTTCTTAACACTTTTGTGAATTGATACCATTTATCATAATAAACAATCTGTCAGTGATTGAATTAATCCACTGCCTCATGCCATAGTTTGCTGAATGCAACTGCATGCAGTTGTTTAGACGCCTCTGATTGAACTGTATATTTCTAACTAAACAGAAGCTGTCACAATCACTATATGACACAGGGCAACTCTTAATGAACTTCATTTAACTATTTCACCAACTTGCCATCCCCATAAGCCTTGTGTTATAAGTCATGCCAACCTATTTCTCTGACATTCAACTCACTGCTTACATATTCTGCATACAAAGCCTACCTATCCAAATTAATAGGGAAAAAGTGTGACAGAAAATACTTCCTGGCTTCCTGCATTCTTGTTTGATTTTGCCTTGGCATATTCTGTGACCTAATTAAATCAGAATAATTCAAGCCAAAATAACTATATAATGGCTCTGCATAATAAATATACTAAGTCACAGAATAATAAAATTAATATCAACAAACATGATCACACTTAGGCTACATGCAAATCAACTTACCCATAATCCACTTTTATGTGTTGCCCATTGAAAAAGAAGACAGTTGATGGAATATAACTAATATCAAAATACTGGGTGTACACTGGAACCTTGCTTACATTCACTAAATAAATTGCAGCCATTTTACTCAAATCATGAGATGTTTTTGCAAGCTGTCAAGAAACCAAAGTTATGTGATACACTGGATGCATGAAGAGTCAAAGTTTTTAATAGTAATAGCAATCAAAAACAGAATAATTTAAACTTCAATGTACTGAGATTCTTTGTGATTGAAAAGACATAAAAGCTGGATTATAATTACATGTACTTTTCAAGATACACTAGCAATAATTGTAGCTTGGATAGCAAGGATAACAAAACTACTAAATCCCTCCATTTAAATTAAGAGAAGCTTTGCTGCAGATTCTACTAGCATCAGATGTGTGTCTGATAAAAATATAGATGACAGTTTTGTTCACTATGGAATATGCCAGCTCAGGAAATCTGACTTCCTTTGGCACCAAATGAAAATATTTTAGATCTGGGTCCTTGGTGCTCTCTGAGCTTGCTTGTTTTCTTGCAGACGTTTCATTACCCAAACTAGGTAACATCATCAGTGCTAATCTAGTCTCGTTTAGGTAATTAAAAACATCTGCAAGAAAGCAGCCAAGCTCAGAGAGCACCAAAGACCCCTCGTTTCAACCCTGAGCTACAAATGTTCCCCTTTATTTTAGGATCAGCAGACGTTTTGTGATGTACGCCGCTTAGATTTGGGAAATAAAAAGCAAATGCCGGCTTACAATGTTATCCAATTGCAGGCAGACATGATCTTCATCTCTACCAAAGCGAAGAACTAGGACTTTCTCCGCCACGGTCTTAATCACCTCATCCACCTCCTTTTTGCTTTTTAACTGAGGCAGCAAGAAACTCATGCCGGCTGACGAGACAGGAGGTTAGCAGTATCTCGCGGTAGCTAACACGCACGCGCATAAACTTGTTTTTGCGTGGTGGGGGGGGAAGGAAACTGTCACGACGCCCAGTGAATGACAAGGACCGTCTCCAATCAATGGCAACTACCGCTACAGAACTTGTTTTCGCTGACGGAACCATCTGTGAGAGTCTAGGGTTTCAGATGGGATATATTTAGGGGACGGACCCATTCCGGAGCGGGCAGGCGCGCTTAGATGTTCATGTTGGTAAGTATGCGAGGTGTTAAAAAGTAAGATTGTTCATTAAAACATGAAATCTAATGAATTCAGTCCGTTTCACCACCTAAGAAAGTGGACTGTTAACTATAATAGATTTAGTTTTATAAAATTAATATTGCTGCCCCTCCCCTCGAAATTCTTCAGTAGATAGTACTCGTTTTAAATATGGGAAGGAGGTGATGGCTGTTTTAATGTTGCCGCGTTTGCCCCTCAATGAAATAGAAAAAGAAGAATGAATGAAGAAATTCATTGTATTGTTTCTGACGCTAATTAGGCATACTTGCAATGAAACTTGGATTTATCTATCAGAAGGAAATTGCACTGAAATCAATGTGATTTCTTCTGATACAATAACTAGTCAGCCTTATCTGATCTCGGAAAACCATAGCAGTAAAGCTTTAGTATTTAGACTAGAAACCACCTGAAATATCTGCGTTGTAGATTAGACTAAGAAAATAGTGAAAACATAGAATAAGGAGGTAGCAAACGGATATTATTGCCAAGAGAACTATGTGCTGGTGTAGTCACCAATAATTGTGCTCAGATCAGATGAGTCTTTAACAACTGGCCTGTATCTCACTGAAAATAATGTGGTTTACTGTAATAGACCTGCTGGGAGATGGCCACTTCTCAGTAATAATAGTGTGCGGGTTTCACATGTGTATATATTACCATTCTAATATTAAAATCAGATTTTTGTACACATGGCTAAAATATTAAATCTCTTTGGGCATGCTTTATAATAAGGAGAAAAGTAATAAGAATCTCATTGTCTGTTTTTCATGTTTTGTCGATGGTGTCATTAGCTTCCATATTTTGGGAAGGGAATTTTTCTGGCATAAGCTTTTTTTCTGTATGTGATCTTTTTTTAATAATAATTTTATTAAACATTACAATGAAAAATAATACAAACTAAAAAAAAATAAAAAAAACTGCACAAAAGGAAAAAATACAAAATATCTTGCCTACTTTTTCATCAGGATTTCAGACAGAAACAACATTCTTGCCTTTTTGAATGATCTCTGACAAAGGTGAGATGACAATTGTGCATCCATCCTTGCTCTGCTTGACTTCTCTTTTGATACCATTGACGGCGGTATCCAGGATTGATTCAGAGAATTGGGGAAAGGCTGCATGATGTTGTTCTGATTTGGCTCCTTTCTCCAGGGTTGATTCCAGTTGGTGATTGGGGAAGAGATTCCGCTACTAACTCCTACGGCTCATCTATTGCAATAGGATGAAATATCATCCTTATGCTGATGATACCCAATTATACATCTCTTCCCTTAACATAATAAATGCCTAGAAGCTGTGAGAGTCTGAATGGGATGTTAATGCTTTAACTGAAATCAAGCATAAACTAGTTTTAAGTTTCTAAAAGCTGTTTTTCTTCTCTAGAACTTCAGAGGTGTGTTACTATATACAAATATATCAAGTGGCGAAATATTTAAAAAATAAAAGGTAATATAATTTTATAAAATACATTTTACCATACCTGTATCTCTGTGTTCTACAGTATATAAATACTTTCATTTGTTCTTCATTCTCTATACTTTTTCATTACATTTTATTTCTCCTGACATTCCCAGCTCCTACAGCCATACAGCAAAGTTGCCTGAAGCATATATTTACAGTGAGGGGAAAAAGTATTGGATCCCCTGCTGAATTTGTACATTTGCCCACTGACAAAGAAATGATCAGTCTATAATTTTAATGGTAGGTTTATTTTAACAGTGAGAGACAGAATAACAACAACAAAATCCAGAAAAGCACATTTCAAAAAAATTATAAATTGATTTGCATTTTAATGAGTGAAATAAGTATTTGACCCCTTCTCAAAACATGACTCCACATTGGTAGATTTTTTTTTGCCATTTCAAGAAGAGAAATGCAAAAATTGTGCCCTGAGCTTTAAAATACTCTTAATATATATACATATATATATACATACATACGTACATACATACATACATAATATATATTATGTAAAAACTGTGCCATGAGCTTTAAAATTCTCCTAATATACATTTATGTACTTTTTAAAAAGAAGGCTTGACAGTTTTGTCTACTTTGCATTACTGACTTGCTCAGTAGGAACTTGAGCTTTTCCAAAAATATGATTGAAATCATAAAAAGGTTACTTTTTTCGATTTAAAATCTCTCTCTCTGATTTTAATACTTTTATTTTCAGTCCTTCTGTGTCACTGCAGTATTTTGCAATCTATTCAGAATCATAAGAAATGGGTAGAATAAAAATGCAATAAATAAAATCAGTTTGTATTACTGATGTTTATAATAATTATGATGAAGAACAATTTCAGGTTTGTTTTTCTAAAATATCTTTTCTTTTCTGTATATGTGTAATTGCAGGTATATATTGGACATCATAACTCTCAATTCTGATCTTTTTCAACATGCATTTATTGAATTTGATTAGAAGATCAGCCTTCAAATTGATTGCACCGAAAATGACAAAATATGGGTTATTTTTAACAATGCCCAGTAAAATCAGTACTTGTGGAACATTGAGGATGATTTATTTAAACAAAAATATTTCAAAAAATGCTGATGAGGACATAAATCTAGATGAATGGAAATTGGTTGTGCTTTCTGGCTTGGAAAAAGAAGCATTTGAAAAAGCATCGCCCGAAGAAGAGCCTAATATAGCAGCTATTAAGGAATATATTGACATGTCTAGGCGTTTAGGTAAAGCTGCTCCAGAAAATATTACTGAAGAACAGTTAAATAAGTTGATTGAATATCCTTCTGTTACTTCAAGAAATAGGTATTTGGCCTTTTTGGCTTCAAAAGAAATGAGAAAGAAGGCCGATAAAGTAAAAAAGAAAAGACTACAGGAAGAAAGGGAGGAACTTAGAAAAACAATGGACAATGAAGAGCTAATACCAAAAAGTAGATTGTTCCGTGCCATTTGGGATTCCTCAATGGATGATTTGTACAACTGGAAAGCTGCTCAGGCTATGAGTTTTGGCCAGCCTCTGGTATTTGACATGGATTACGATGATATGTCAGAGAGAGAGATGCAGAATACAGTGAAACAGATGATGGAATGTGAAGGAGCCAATCGTAAAGCTGTAGAACCATTTCATTTATATTACTGTAATCTTAAAGAAGATGGTCCATACCACAACGAATTCCTCAAGCGTTATGGAGATGCATGGGACAATTTGTTTGTGACAGTGACAGAAAAGTCTTATGCTGAAATATTTCCAAGAAATCAGATTGTCTACTTAACAGCTGATTCTCCCAATGTAATGGAAACATTTGACCATAATAAAATCTATATAATTGGATCCCTAGTTGATAAGTCAATAAAGAAGGGAGTCTCTCTTGCTCGTGCAAAGCGCTTGAAGTTGGCAACAGCACAACTTCCCCTAGAAAGATACTTTCATTGGAAAACTGGAGCCAAAGTTCTTACTCTGGATCAAATGATGATGATCTTACTAACTCTGAAAAATACTGGAAATTGGAAGGAAGCTCTAGAGTTTGTTCCAAAAAGAAAACACGAAGGTTTTTTAGATCCATCTTTGCAACACTATATTCATAGACAAAAGAATAAAAAAATCTATGAGCAAAACTTTAAAAAAAAGCTATTGGTAGAGGAGCTCTCCAAGAAACGTTTGTGGAATGGATTGTGGGAAGAGTAGTGTGTAAATCACCCAGTTATGATTGGTATACATTTTCATGTAAAATAACATTCGTCCTCAGAAAGCTTTCAACTTTTATAGACTAAAGAACCCAATAATGATAAAACATGTAGTTTTACCACAGGAGGACTCTGTAAATATATAGGAATCATCACTTCTGACTGCTAAGAAAACCTCTGTAATACACAATGGGGCTGAAAAAACCGGTGTCAGGTTAAAGACAATAACAGTAATTGTTAATGCTTCAGGTCTGTCACTAACCCCAATGTAATATAGTATATGCTTTTTCTCTGCTTTCCATTACATTGCCTCATACAACAAAGTTATGTAAATGTAGTTTCCCAATTTTGATACAGGGGAATATGTGATTACAGTATTGTGAATTTTGATAAACAACCAGGAGCTCAAATTACTGTAAATGTTCTGATTTTATTCAGGAATTAATACTATGTGAGGAAAGTAACTATTAAAAAAAGTGAATTGTGTGTATGATCTTTTTATTTTAGAGGGGAAAAGTTGGATAATATTCAATTGTATCTTTATTAAGGCATTATTTAAAAAGTTAGACTTGTTAAATAGGGCTACTTACTAAAACATGTTTTAAATGTTTTTGATCTAATTATTTTATAATTGCATATACCTTGTCTTTTGATCAAATGATCTAAAACGAAATGGTGATTTGCCACAGTTTTAAACACATCAAACATAAGGTGCAAAAATATTAACAATGTTTAAAATATAGCAACATTGTGATTATTCCATCCCAGGATTCCATCTCCAAAAGTTAAGCTTCTTTTGATGTTTCTGTAGTCACCAGAGATAAAAAAGGATCTGTGCAAAAGGGAGAAGTGCAAAACATTTTATGAATGGACCATTCTCTGCACAAAATCACCAGTTTGTTATGATCTTTATTCGGTCCAACATATATTCATATTTACAGGTCACCACAGGGCCCCATTACAGCTAAGGAAAAGGAAGATGTTAAGAACATCAAAATAAAGAGTAAAAGGCTGGTAGAATGTGCCATGTTTCATGGGCAGTGGCAGTGCTTATTGGGAGAAAGGTGCCGATGGAAAATCAATTCCTTTTATCCAGTGAAAATACATTGACAAGCGATAATATGTTTATTTTAGCTCCTTAATGGCTATTGCTAGGAGCAGATGCCAATGCCATAAACATGGTAATTAACTTGTATTCATGCGTAATACAAGCAAATTCATGATGTGTATTGTTTGGCTAAATTGTTCACATTACATGGAATATAGGAATCTTAAAAAGTTAGAAATGCAAGTTGTACACACTGATTTTTCCTATTTATTACCTATTTGTTCTTTGTGTCTATGTGACTGGTTTACTTAATGATAATTGTGTTGGGCCTATTTTCTAACAGTGCTATTTTACATTTTTATACAGAACTAGGAAAATCAAATGGTGGATGATGCATAAATCATGCAGGGAAAATGGAGTGGGGAAAACAGTCCCACCAGCTTTGCCCCATTACCCCATGTGAAACCTCTGAGTTTGTCTCTGTTAAGACCAGCAAACAAAACAGTCCAGCTGGCTGAACTGTCACTGTTCAGTTGAACTTTTGAGCCAAAATACATTTGTTCCATGCACAAAATAATTTTTCATGCAAGTCCTTGTCTTTAAAAAAAATTGTATTAATGAAAATACCAAAAATCTCAAAATGAAACAAAAATCTATCTATACAGATAGTTCTCAAATTACGACCACAATTGAGCCCAAAATTTGTTGTTAAATGAGATATTTGTTTAGTGAGTTTTGCTTATTTTTACAACATCTCTTGCCACAGTTGATAAGTGAATCACTGCAGTTGTTAAGTTAATAACATGGTTAAGTGAATCTGGTTTCCCAACTGACTTTGCTTGTCAGCAAGTTGCAAAAGGTGATCACATGACCCTGGGACACTGCAACTGTCATAAATATGAGTCAGTTGCCAAGGGTCTGAATTTTGATCACATAACCACGAAGATGCCGTAGTAGTCATAAGTGTGAAAAATGGTCATAAGTCACTTCTTTTTGTTGTAACTTTGAACAGTCACTAAATGAACTTGTAAGTTGACTACCTATATACGGTGCTTGAGTCAAACTAAAGTTTGGCCACACAGGATCATAACATGACTCCCCGAAAGTAAAACCTACCCCCAAAATAAGTCCTAGCTTGGTTTGGGGGGGGGCTAATATAAGCCCTACCCCAAAAATAAGCCCTAGTTTTGTGGCGAGGCGCATGCCTAAAAGTCAAGCTAAGCCAGGGGTAGGGTGATGGAGCTACCCCACACTCCACACCCACTTACCGATAGAACCGCTGCAAGCAGGCCTCCTATGCCCCGACACTTGTGCTGCGTGGCTCATCATGCCGTTGCCGCTCCTGGCGGCAGGAGGCTGCATGGTGCTTCAGGCCAGTGCTGCCAGTTGTGGCAGGATGCCATGAGGTGCTTCAGGCCGGTGCTGCTGGCCATGGCAGGACACTATGCGGCACTGCAGGCCATTGCCACCGGTTGCAGCAGGATGCCGCGTGGTGCTTCAGGCCGTTGCCATCGAAGCACCATATGGCCTCTTGCAGAGAGCCTAAAGCGCTGTGCAGCGCCTTGCTGCAATTGGTGGCAATGGCCCAAAGTGCCGTGCGGTGTCCCACCATGAGTGGTGGTAACGGCCCGAAGCACCATGCGGCCTCCTGCAAATGGACCAAAGCGCTGTGCAGCGCCTTGCTGTGACCGGCGGCAATGGCCTGAAGCAATATGCGGCCTCCTGCAAATGGCCCGAAGCCGCGTGGCATCCTGCTGTGACCGGCAGCAATGACCCGAAGCACCATGCGGCCTCCTGCAAATGGCCTGAAGCGCCGTGCGGTGTCTTGGTATGATCAGCAGCAATGGCCCGAAGCACCATGCAGCGTCCTGCAAACAGCCCAAAGCACCACACAGTATCCTGCCATGTCCGGCAGCACTGGTGTGAAGCACCATGTGGCATCCTTCCATGACCAGCAGCACTGGTGCAATGCGTCACGTGGTGTCCTGCTGCAAGTGCCGACAAATGGCCACTGAAGAAGTCAAGCAGTGGCGTGACAGCTGTTGGGGCATGGGTGGCCCGGCTGCAGCAGTTCTAAGGTAAAATATCCCCCGGAAAATAAGACCTAGTGCCTCTTTTTGAGGTAAAAAAATATATAAGACCGGGTCTTATTTGGGGGGAAATACGGTATAGCTTTATATGACATCAATGGAAGGTGTGCAAGTTCCCATCTATTTTGACCAGATATTAATGTTTGCTGAAGTAAAGTAGTTTTAGCTACTGACTTTGTGCTACAAATCCAATAATTCATACTTCCAATAGCTTGCAAATTGATCATTTACACTCAACCCGTGACTGATTGGGTCATCTTTTCAAAGATACCATCTTATCAGATTCAACAAACGATAGAACTTTTAATGTCTTGCCTTCACTGGAAAAGCATTTGCTTTAAAATAGTCCACGTTGAATTGTGTAGCATAGTGAAACATCAGGAGTTGTTCACGGGAAATATTTTATGATTTTTTTTTAAGGTCAAAATGTTTTATAACATTTGCCAAGTTTCAATTCCATAGGAATTGAATCCAGGCTCCTGGATTTGTGTGTGTGTGTGTGTGTGTGTGTGTGTGTGTGAGAGAGAGAGAGAGAGAGAGAGAGAGATTCAAATAGTCTGTTCAGCAATGTCAGGTTTATAGTACTACACTTCCTTTCCGGTAACTTCTTGTATTATGAAACAGACGTTTTCCCACGATAATTACAAATAATACATTTCTTGAACCTAACCGGTCTGTCTGTATGTCATTGCGATAGAAACTATACAGCGATGTCGGGTCCAAAGGACCGTCGAGCAAATCAAATGTTTGCCGCAGCTGTTTAACGGCCGCCTTTACAACTGAAAACCAGAGGTTTCCTAAAAAAAAAAAAAAAACTAGCAGAAGCGGAGAAAGCACTAAGAACAAGTTCAGCGTTAGGAAACTCCTCCAGCCTCCTCTTGACTTTCCCGGATGGATCGTGGGAGGACTCATTCACTGCGCATGCTCACCACAGCGCAGTAGCGACGGGACAGGGAGGGAGGAGGAGGAGAAAAAATGGCGGACGAGAAAGGAGGCGATGTGAAGCTGAAACGACCGCGGCTTGACGGAGGTAAACATATTGCGCTCATGTTCCTCTTCCGCAACTGTTTTTTTTTTTTTTCATCCAAGGTTTTCATTTAAAACGTGAAAATTCTCTTAGGGCTGGGGGGGTCGAGGGATAGGTGCGTGTGGACATGTTTTTCCTTTCTCGAGAGTCCGTGCGAAGGCTGGCTCTCGTAATGCCCGTTCGTCGGCTTTAATTGAGCTCAGGCTTTTTCACTAAGAAACTCGCGATCTAATCTGCAGGCAATTTGTGGCGATCTAGTCCAGTGTTTCTCAACCTTGACCATTTTAAGGCATGTGGACTTCAACTCCCAGAATTCCACAGCCAGCAATGCTGGCTGTGGAATTCTGGGAGTTGAAGTCCACATGCCTTAAAATGGTCAAGGTTTGAGAAACACTGATCTAGTCCATGTCAGAGCCCCGCAGTGTTCTGTAGGTTCGCCCAGACCCCTGTAGACAGGCCAGCTTGTACCTTTGTAGAGTAGTAGCTCCTTGCATGTATTGCGCGGTTGGAAGAATATCTGGCCGTCACTCTCATGCCAAGAGGGTTGCAGATAAAGCTTGGCCGTGGATATTGCTCTTTTCAGTAACTTCAGAATGCAAGTTATTCGCTCTAGAATGTGATCAGCATTCTTTTATAGTTATTATGAGATAAAAGGTCCATAAAATGGCCCCACAGGAATTCCATGGATGCTTATCTGGGCATTAGTAGCATACTTAAATACTAACTAGACCGTATATAAATCTGATGCATGATGCATAATGATTTGTTTCCTTCAGGAACAACCTTCTTGAATTTAGTGACTCTAGATATGCTGAACTACAACACCCATAAAACTCTGCCAGGTCTGCAAAGATACACATATTTGCTGGTCTTATGGAACGAATAGTTATCTGCATATAAATAACATGCTAAAGAAAGAATATACTGGAACATATGATTATGTAGTGTTAACAATGTTTCATTTTCACTGATCTATCTCAATCCTGCATTTCTGTAGTTAGCACTAAGAGATGCAGAGACGAATGAATTGGATCCATGCCAATAACAATAAGTGCAACTAGTTTGGTTTGTAGACCAAGCTTCTGTAACAAATTAGTACTGCTCAAAGTCAACTTCTCAAATGTTTATTCAAGTGGCATTGTTGCAGACTTTTGCATCAACTTGGAAATATCCGAATTATGGAACTGAAAAGATAATCTATGTTTACCAGTGAAAAAACAGAAGGTGGACTAGTCTTAGAAGTGGGAAAAGCAGCATAGCAACATGCAATCTGTCCAATTTAAAACAAGGATTACTAGTTGGATCTCCCTCTACACTGTTGACAAAATGATGCTGGGAAAACTGAAGGATACTGGGTTTTGCAGTATATAGTGGAATGGGGGGTGAGTATTGGTAGAGGAATAAGAGTTGTGAACTAGTTCACAACTCTTATTCCTCTACCAATACTCACCCCCATTCCACTATATACTGCAAAACCCAGTATCCTTCAGTTTAGCTCCTAGGATTTGACAAGGTACAGATCCTCATTATGTCCTGTCTACTCACATAGAAGATGGCATTCCCAGGCAGTCTACTTGGGTCTTCAAAAGTGATAGTCTGCAAAGCACAGTTATAGACATTCCTGAACCAGCTAATGGAGAACAGAGCTTACCCAGGTCAGGTGATAAAGCAGAGGCAGTTACTTTAATTCTAGAAGCCTATCAGATTAATGCTGCTCTTCCTACCCTCTGCAGATTTGTGATCCTCATATTTATGTGATAAATGAAGAATAAGATTTCTATGAAGGAGAGGATCATAAGATAGATTGAAATGTATTCCTTATGGAATTCAGAAGAAGGTACATTTTCAGATCATAACTTTATTCAGTTTGTAGCTTTGCATCAGAGACTACTTAATCTTGACCTACTTATGACACTAAATACTCAGCAAAAATGCTTAACTGGAATTGGACCCTAGCAGTCTTACACTTAGTACTCCTAAGAATTTGTGACATTCTGCAGGATCTTGCATAAATATAAATGCTGTTTGAATTATCTAGCAATGCAGAGCATAATGAACTGATAGCAGACATAATTCCAAATTAGTAGTCCCAAGAGAACAGAGAGGTGTTCACAGACTCAAATGAATAAAGGATAAACAGAAGCCAAATCCCTAAGGGCAACAAATTAGTTACAGTGCATTCATAAAGTATTCAGACTTGACTTTATTTTTGTCAATTTTGTTATGCTGCAGCCTGATTCTACAGTTGTTGAAATTTGTTTTTTTTTCTCATTAATCTACACTCAGTACCCCATAATGACAAAGTGAAAACAGAATTTTAGAAATATCTGTAAATTTAATAAAAAGAAAAAAATGCTGACATGTTGCTACATCTTGACTGGAGTCAACCTGTGGTAATTAAATTGATTGGACATGGAATATACCTCTCTATGTGCCTCACAGCTGATAATACATACTGTAGCAGAGCAAAAGCCATGAGGTTAAAGGAACTGCCCGCACAGCTCAGAGACAGGATTGTTGCAAAGCACAGATCTGGGAAAACTACAATAAAATTTCTACACTGAAGGTTACTAAAAACACAGTGGCCTCCATAATTCTCAAATGGAAGAAGTTTGGCACCACCAGGACTCTTCCAAGAGCTGGTCGCCCGGTCAAACTGAGCAATCGGGAAAGAAGGGCCTTAGAGAGGTGACCAAGAACCCAATAGTCACTCTGACTGAACTGCAGAGATCCTTTGTGGAGATGGGACAGAGTTCCAGAAGGACAACCATCACTGCAGCCCTTCACCGATCTGGGCTTTATGGCAGAGTGGCTAAGCAGAAACCTCAGGGCAAAACACATGAAAGCTTGAAGTTTACAAAAAAAGGACCTGATGGACTCTCAGACTGTGAGGGACAAAATTCTCTGGTTTGATGAAACCAAAATTGAACCGTTTGGCCTCAATTCTAAAAATTATGTCTAGAGGAAACCAGGCACCGCTCATCACCTGCCCAATACCATCCCAATAGTGAAGCATGGTTGCAGCATCATGGGGTGTTTTTCAGCAGCAGAGATTGGGAGACTGGTCAGGGTTAAAGGAAAGCTGAATGGAGCAAAGAACAGGGATATCCTCAGTGAAAGCCTGTTCCCCAGCTCTTAGGACCTCGGATTAGGTTAACGACGTTCCTAAGACAACACAGAAGTGGCTTAGGGACAACTCTGTGAATGTCCTAGACTGGGCCAGCTAGAGCCCTGACTTGAACCTATTGAACATCTCTGGAGGGACGTGAAAATGGCTGTCCACTAATGGTCACCATCCAACCTGATTGAACTTGAGAGGATTTGTAAGGAAGAATGGCAGAAAATCCCCCAGTCCAGGTGTGCAAAGCTTGTCGCGTCATACCCAAAAAGACTTGAAGCTGTAATTGCTGCCAAAGGTCCTTCAACAAAATATTGAGTGAAGGGTCTGAATACTTACACCAATGTGATATTTCAGTTTTTTTCTTTTTAATAAATTTACAGACATTTGTAAAATTCTGTTTTCACATTGTCATTATGGGATACTGAATGTAGATTAATGAGGAAAAAATGAATTTCAACAACTAGAATCAGGCTGTAGCATAACAAAATTGACAACAATTAATATTTTCTGAATGCACTGGATATTTCAAGGAATGTAAACAGAAAAATATATCAAAACTTACCAGCAGCAGTTATGCAGTTGAACAAAGTGATTAGTTTGTTTGGAGTGCATGCATATCTTGGGCAAATTCGTGGTTGATAAAAAGGAAATGTACTGTCATGTTGGACTTAATTCATCATGCCTTCACAGATACATTCATATTTTTTTTGCCAACAGTGTCGACATGATTGGTTATTGCTTTACTTCAGTATGTATTTCAGCTTCACAGTGTAGTCTATAATTCTGGCATTTCCTGGTGCCCTTCCATGCCAATAGTAACCAGTCCAGCTTTGCTTAGTTTGGGGGGAATCATCTAAACTCCAGTCAACAACAACTACAATGTTTAAAAACTAGCTAAATAAAATCTCACATTGCTAAATCTCACCTAGCCAATGGCAAAGTTTGTTTTTTGCTGCAATAAGCCAACCTTAAGCGTTGTGACAATTTTTAGTTTTAAGAATTGTGGCATAAATACTTGTGGTTTAAATGTTAGAATTTTCAATTTTATGATCTTTTTCTATTTCTGTAATTTCTGCAATTCAAGACAGCATAAACTGATATTTTCAAAGTTATATATTTCAATTACTTCCGTGGATTTATTCTGTCTTGACTTGAAATGACTCTTACAGTTTTCCTAGGGATGACATGCGGATGCATGATTTTAAATATATATTTACATATATATTTTTATTCTGCATTAGCCGAGTGATAGGAGCTCCCTTCACTATATGTCTATGTCCTTACAGTGTGCTCTGTATAAACAGTTGTGGAGGTGCTGACACTGTAAGTGCAAAAGTCGCCTCTGAATAACAGTGCTTTATGAGGTTGCTGCTCCCATCAGTCCACTCAGTAAAAATAGCTCATCTTGGTAAGTTGTTTCGACTTCACCAGGACCTGAAGAAGAGGCAGAAAAACCTGTGAAAACTAAGACTGTTTCTTCCAGTAATGGAGGGGAAAGCTCGAGTGGTAGTTTGGAGAAACATGCAGTTGATGAAGATGCTGAAGACTTCTCAACAAAGCCTGCTCCTGCCAAAATGTCCAAGTTTGGGTTTGCCATTGGCTCACAGCTTTCCAAGAAACCACCTGCAATATCCATCAAACTTGGAGCAACTGTAAGTGGTTAGAAAATGTTTTGAATTTGCAATATTTAGTATTGGTTTGAATGGATAAATATTAATTTGACATTAATAATAGTCCTGAAATATTGATTTCATCTTAATTAAGCCATGTGTATTATAAATGGTTTTTATTGTCATGTTTTATGAACAATTATGTCAAGAGACATGGAATTCGTATGAAGACAATTTCTATTCTAGTGTTTCCTGTAGTATGGTGCCGAGTGCATAACTTAGTAATGTTATATACTGACAAAAATAAATAGAAATTACTAATTTTTTAATACTTAAGCCTTGATTAAAGATATAGGAATTCATTTATAAGAATATAATTAGTAGCTTAGAGAGCCAGCATTGGTTAAGGCACCAGAGTAGAAATCAGGAGGCCATGAGTTCTAGTCCTGTCTTAGGCATGAAGTCAACTAGATGACATTGGGCCAGTCATACTCTCATAGCCCTAGGAAGAAGGCAGTAGCAAAAAACATTGCCAAGAAAGCTGCATAGGTTCTAGGAATTCGCCAGAAGTCAGTGATGACTGGAAGTAAAAAAAAAAACAAGCAAACGAGTCTTACTCTAGAGGCTGACCTATTATCATTACTATTGTTTTTATTATTACAAAAACCTTGTAGAAATACTTTTCACTTTGGTGGTAGTCACCTTTTCTATGAAGGCTTGCAAAAAGTAATTTGAGTTACTGTGTGGATGAGAAGTATAATAAATACATAAGTACACATTTGCATACATATGTTGTCAATACAAATATTTACAGAAGTTCGAAACCATTTAAGCTTTATATATATATTTTTGAAAAATGGAAATTGCAAAGGTTACTTGGCCAAGACGCCAAATTAACAGTAAAATAAGCAGAGGGGGAATCTGTCTCAGCAGAGCATTTTATAGTAAAGGTTTCATAGTCAAGCTCTCTCCAATAGCCACATTCTGGTGATATACATACAGTTGGAGATAGATCTTGATGGTGCAGCAAATAATACAGGAAAAATAATTAAAAATATATTTGTTTCATAAAGTATATAGACTTTATTTGTTCTTATTTATTTTCTTCCAGTAGCTGAATTTAGTGCAGTGGAGATAATCCGTGGTCCATTGAATCATCCTTATAGAGATATTTCCTTACCAGATTCCTCAATTCCTTCAACAATGATAGAACTTATGTACTCCCAACTAGAAAAGTTGGGATACATTTAGATATGTATCTGTCTTGAAAATAGCACAAGTTAAACTATATAGCACATTCAAACATCAGCACAGGAAATTTTTATGACATTTTGCATTATGTTACAAAACTGTTTTATAATATTTACGGTATATCATAAAATGTTTCATAAAATTTGCCAAATTTCAATTCTGTGAGAGTCGTGGGTCCTGGATGTTGGACACATTTTGTAGGTTAGTCCATTTGAGGTAAATCTTGGTTCAAACATTGTTGCCCTATGATGCATTCTTTCACCCTGTTAAAAGTTACAGGAATGAGAGTTTTAGTTGTATATAAATACAACTGTCTTGTTTTGGAAACAATTTCCCATGTAATGTAGGGTTAGGGAAAGGTAGCGTTCTAGTAAAATGTCAGTCTGTGTTTAGTAAAGTAGTTTACTTAAGGTCTATAGCATGCTTTTAATTACTAATTACTATTGTATTGATTTCTTCCATCTATAAAATTCTGTCTTTGCTCTCTTTCAGAAACCTAAAGAACCTGCTCCAACTTTAGCTCCAAAAACACTCTCTGTAGCAGCAGTTTTCAATGAAGATGAAGATGTAAGTAACTGAGAAAAATGCAGGAATGTGATGTAGTACAGATCTATAGCTTGTTAAATACCCACCCTGCTGGTTGTTATAGAGACCTTGAAGACCTAGCCTTTGGTGAGGGTAATTGAAGAGCCCTCCTGGGTAGTGTGGGACTGCTTCTTGTTCTTCCCCATCTTTTGCCATCTTATGTTCCTTGTTTTTACTATTATGTTTTTCTGACTTTTTTTAAAAAAAAATTGGGAACTGGTCAGAGTAGTTGGTAGCTGAGCCATGTACAAATTTAATTGTAAGAATATAGTAAATAAACGTATCGACAATCACACAGTTGCCAATCCTGAGGAAAATATGTTTGGTTTAAAGGCTTTTAGATAAATACTGTAGCCTTAGAAGTGCAAAGCATCTTTTTGCCTTTCAATCTAAATTTCCACATAGCTCTAAATGTTAATGATTGTGTAGGCTAGGGGCAGTACGCTGCCTTAACTACAAGAGCTGTATTATGTCTTTCTAGTATTAATACAAGATTTTAAACAATAAACTTTAGATTGGATGAGATTATTAATAATAAATTATTAAGTTTGAATATAACAAAATATATGATTGATTTGTGTGCTAGGAGCTGATGTTCAAGATCAGCATAAAGTAACAAATATGTCCACATAGATAAACTCATCTATAATATAAACAAAATAATTGTGTTCATGTTGACTTTTTACTTAGAGTGAACCTGAAGAGATGCCTCCAGAAGCTAAAATGCGTATGAAGAACATTGGAAGGTAACATATCTTTCATAGTAATATTGTAGGAAAATGGTAGAACAATATTCATTATATTAGTATATTGGCTATGTGTTGAAGCTAAACCTTATGTAGTTCTTCTAGAATTATTTCCAAATAGGTCAGGGACTGTAATTTGGAATTTATACAGCAGTTTAAAATATTTTTCTGTTTACCTTCTGCCATAAGAAAGCGTGTCCAAATATAATATTTTTGGATTTCAGGATTGTAAACATACTGCTGCCAACTGCATATAGATATGGTGTTCTCACTTTCTAATAGTAGCCTCTTTAAATATTTTGAACTAAAGTATTGAATTAGTAAAGGTAAACCAATTGCTTTTGTTCATTTGCAGAGATACTCCAACTTCAGCAGGACCAAATTCTTTCAACAAAGGAAAGCACGGGTTTTCTGACAACCAGAAATTATGGGAACGTAATATGAAATCTCACCTTGGAAATGTTCGTGAACAGGATGACTAGTTGTCTATTTTGATCTGGGTGTTGGGAAATGGGAGAGTACAATATTAAAGGAATAGTGCCCTTTTTTAGAATGGTATACAGCTATTTTGGGTACCACTTTTAAAAGTTTGTAGTGGTACAACAACAAAAAAAATGAGTTTAAAAGTAGAGGTAACTTATGTTTTGTATACAAATTTCAAAGCAATTGCTAATTTTGTAGCTTCATGCATTTAATTTCACAAGGTTATGAAAAATAAAAGCATTGGAAGTGGTACATTTTAAAGGAATTTTCTTTTTACGATGATTCTTATATGAAGATAGAAAAGTCACTCTGTCTTTAATCAGTTTTAAGTTAAATGCTGCTGTATTCAAAAATCCAGATCCTGTTCTGCGATAGGTTTTCGTTGTTTATTCATTTAGGCTACTTTTATAGAGGTTCAGTACATCAAGTCTTGCTAGACTGTTTTAATCCACATAATTCTGTAAAATAAACTATTGAAAAATAATTTTACTACATTTCAATCTAAGATTTTTGACTGTGGTAGACTAGTAGTACAATCCTGTTCTCGAACATTGTATAATCCCTCTGTAGCCTGTTTCCCTCTTAAGAAATGGGTCTTGCATGTATATACATATTAGGAAAGTATAACAAACATTCATAACAAAGGTAAATCAGTATTTTTTTTGACATTTCAACTCTTGAGCCTTGACCAGTGCTTGTCAATGTATGTCAGTTTGAGGTAGATTCATTAATAGGTAAAAGGAATTTTCAGAAGGAGATTATGCTTTATCATGTTTTAAATGCCAGGGTCTTTTTTTTATATATAATTTCCTGTAGGAATAGGAATTACACATATTTAAATTAGCAATTGCTTACTAACATGCAGAAATTTGCAATTTACTTCCATATTTTGATGGTACATTGTGCTAGAACTTTGGTACCAAAAGTGAACTCATCCTTACTCTGATGACAAGGAATCATGGTTTGTTTTTTGTTGTTGTTTGCTTTTGGGGTTTATTTTGCATTCATATTTAAGCAGATGCAATTCCCACTCCCCCCCATTTTTAGTTTTTCTAGTTCAGACTTCATTTCTTCAGGGAAATATCCTTTCCTTCATTTTTTTTAGAACTTTATAATTTCTTAAATAAAAGAAGAGAACACCATATTTCTGATTGGCGTAGCTTTCAAGATTTGCTTAGCATAGCTTGACCTGCTTGGCATAGCGTCCAAAGCTCACCTGCTATGTCCCTTTGCAGAATATATATGTAGGTTAGCATCTGGAGCCAAAAGCTCCAGTTGGATTGGAGGTCTTCGCTCAGTATAAAGCTTCAACAGGGTCACTGTTTCATTAAAACCATGGCCTGGGAAAATTGCACCACATGCTTGGATATTTCCAACTTCCTGTTTGTTTGTATCTTTGTTTAATCTTAGGAAATTAAAAACATCCTTCTAAGATATCACCAGCTGAATGCAAAGATGTAGCTGTTAAATAGACACAGAAAATTACAAGCATTGTTCTGGAAAACTACCAGTAATGGCAAAATATAATGGATGCGGCTTTCAAAATGACAGAAAGAACTATGAATAAAGGAAGTTTCTTTCTACAAAGAAGTCTTTTCCATATTCTTTGATTAGGAAAGACTTTCCTGGATTGTGATCTTCAATTTTGCTACATTTCTCCTATCCCTCTTTATTTTTTAAAGTAGCTAATTACCAATATTGTTAACCAGGTGGGTCATAAACTGGGTAGACATTCTCTCCACTCACCTATTTTCTAACTTATTTAAAGACAGCATCAGGCAAGAGGATGGAACTGATTGAAAAGGTATATTTATGACAGCCTTGTGGGGCAGACCAGATGAGCTAATTCTACTTTATTATACATAAACAGAATCTTGCAAGTTTGAAAGTATGTTTCTCCTTTTCCCATCCCATTTACAGCCCAAGAAACCAGGGAAGTTCCCTCCTGAGTTACTTGCCCAGCCCACATTCCTGCTAACATTGAGCTCTCACCCCCAAGGTTTTACATTTATTGATTTATGGAAGACTTAACGTAAATTTTAGAATGTTACACAAACAGAAAAACAGATCAGTTTATACATTCAATTAACCCTAAGGGGAAGTAGGTCTGACAGCAATCTTATACAGATAGTCCTCAACTTAAACAGCTCATTAAGTGACCATTCGAAGTTACAACGATGCTGAAAAAAGGGACTTAACGACCCTTTTTCACACAACATTGCAGCATCCCTGTAGACACAGGATCAGAATTCAAATGCTTGGCAACTGACTCATATTTATGATGGTTGCAGTGTCCCAAGGTCACATGATACCCTTTTGTAACCTTCTGACAAGCAAAATCAATGGGGAAACCAGATTCACTTAACAACCATGTTACTAAATTAAAAACTGCAACCGTTTACTTAATTATAGTAAAAAAAGGTCATAAAATGGGGCAAAACTCTTAAATGTTTCTCTTAGCAACATAAATTTTGGACTCAATTGTGGTCAAAAGTTGAGGACTATCTGTACTCCATTTGTAGTTGTTGATTTGTAGTTAAGCAATCTGCCACATTTTAATTTGGTCATATGAAGGTTTGGCTGGAAGGTTAACCGATGCTTTTCACAATCAAGATGGTTCTAGAGAGGCATCTCAAAATAGGGTCTTTCCGGGTCCTTCTTTTCTGTAGTAATATAGAGCCTGATCACAATAGCATGACTTTTTCATTTTATTATTTGCTCCAGTGGAAAAAGAATAAAGTTTCCTTTATGAAAACTGGGAGGAATAATAACATGACTGATAAATAATTGAATGAGACACCCCCCATTGTGTATTGTTGGTGAATGGAACAATGAATGAATATACATTTAAATGGATTTTCCTGGGTCAACAAAGTTTCCTCGTATTTCTGGACGTGCTCATTCAGCATTACTATTTGAAATGTAATTGAGAGACTGGGACATGGTTTGTTTTAGTTCCCATTAGATCTTTGTTCCCATGAAAATATTATCATATGGGGTTCACGTTTTTCAGGATATGCTGATTGAATTTGGAGCTAAATTCAGAGAGAGCTCAGTATTGATGACCATATCAGGAGTCATTTGACTGTTATGGATATTGGGCAGCTCTAGATTAGGCTACTGGTTTTCCTCCTTTGGTACCAAAAATACCCATCTGCAAACCTTATGCCATAGATTTCCTAATGGGAGTAAAGCTTTAGCATTTCTCCTTTGCAGCTGATCACTGATAATTAAGAAAGCTAGAGCGCTGAGCTTTTAAGATTCCTTTGTACTACTACTATTATGTAGAAAAACATTTTCCCTTTTGTCCTCACTAATAAAACTGTAGCTCCATTTGGATCTTGTACTTACATTTAATTATAAATATCTCCATTTCAAGCTCACTTCATTCTCAACAAATTACTTCTAGACTTATAGAGTTACCGTACATTCAAAGAGCCCAGAAATTTATCCATTTGCTTGTCTTTCAATTTCTTTGCAAAAAAAATCCAACATAACCTATTTTACAGGTTTATAGAGAATGGTCTCCTGTGAACCTTTATCAATCAGCCTTCAGTTATTAAATATGTAGAGGTCATTATAATAAAATGTTAGGGCTTATATTTCAAAAGAGTATTTTCTAACACGTCAAACCACAAGGACAACAGTTATGATGACACTACTATGTGCTGTTAACCTAAAACTGAGGATTTCACATTTTGATATTTAATCGTAATCATTAATCATCAATCACCTAGCCTTTTTAGTGGTTTCCACTGCTGTCTAACATGGCATAGTCAATAACAGAGTTTGTTAGATTCACCCAAATCTGAACCAAAGTTATTGCCTTGAAGGATTCCCTCAGTACTGAGGGCTGCCACCAACTGACCTTAGAAATCACACTATCAAGACCAAGTACACCCAATATTTATGCATAACTTTATTGTAACTTTCTATCCATAAATCTTCAGTAGTATTGAATCTTAGAACCGGCAATGCCATTATCATGACTTTCATAAACAACGAAGAGAATATAATCTTGCCTTTTTTACTGAAATGGAGTCTTGACACGTGTAGTAACTTTATTATAGCATCAGTACAAATGTTTAAATTGCAGACTCCTCAATTATTGGAGATGGTTTCCCTGCAATACATTTCTTATATAAATAAAAGGTTAAGATTCTTTTACAAGTTCCACATATTTAATCCAGTGTAGTTCAGCATAGTACTGTAACCCATGTTGATAAGTATAAAGTTTTACACCTGCTTCACCATATATAGTGAGTTGGGAATAAAGTAATTCTGATGTAGACTCCTTTGTTCAAGGCTTCTATTGCCATATATGTTAATTTCAACTGAAAACTGATTTTTGTAAGCCTCAATCACTTGATCTTTTCCACAATATTCCAAAAATAAAGTGGCTTCTTCTTTCATATCATACAGACTGTCTAAGCATATTTCTCTTTGATAACAAACCTCAGTACAGAACAAAAGAAAAGAAAAGAATTTTCACAAAGCAAATAAGGCAAGATTCCGATAAAGGAGATTAGCACTGATGATGTTGCCTAGTTTGGCCAAAGATGCTTTTTTCAAAAGGCAGCTGGACTGTTTTTTCTTGAAGATTTTTTGCTTCTCATCCAAGAAGCTTCTTCAGTTCAGAACTGAATAGCACCTTTGGAACAACCATGACTTGGATGGCTGAGAATCTCCATAGACATTTACCTAGTTTGGATAATAAAATGCTTGCAAGAAAACCAAGCTCAGACAGCACCAAGGACCCCTTGACAAGATTCTTTTTTATACGCCTGAAGGGCAGAATTTAGAAGCTAATATATGATGCTGAATGAGGCATGTGTTTTTATTTTGGAAATATTTTCTATTTTTGTCATTTTTTAATGTGATCCTCAGCAATATGGAGTACTGTCAATACAAATTTTCAGTTTCTTCATACTTGAGTTTTGTTTGAAGAATTTAATACAATTAAAAATCGAATCTTTTGGCAGCTATAGCAAATATCTTCAATATTTGAAAACAAAAATATTTTCCGTATTCCCTTTAGTTACCTAATATGTCTAGACAAGGAATTGAAGACAGTTTCCTTTATCGCTCATAACTATCACAGCTAAGAACAAGATGATATTTTCCTTAAACTAGAGTTTGATATGCTCAGCTAAATTATCAATCAATTATCAATCTGGTGCTTGACTGTAGAATTAATGCAAGACTTCACAAGTTTTTCCAATAACACAAGATTTTCTTCTGATTTTAGTTAGAAGAGCCATTACAGAAAGGTTTCATAATCTTTGCAGATGCTAGAAGTAATGATCCAGAATTATCTATTTTGGTGTGCTTTAAACACACACACACACAATTTGTGATATAAAGTGAATCCATATTTGATGTACTCCTGATCAAACTCTATTATTTTTGCTGTCATATGAAGATAAAAATGTTCATTTTGAAAATTGTTATTAACATATAATTACAGATTTATTTTTGCAGTCTACACAGTCACTGGATTTTTTGTGTGTATTTTTGTGCAAAATGCATTTTTATTTTGAAATGAAAAACTTCAACAAAGCAGAACTTGTTCCTTAAATTTTTCTACACTTATATTGCAACATTGCTCATTAAAAAAACATGGTGCAACCACTGTGCAAACACAGTGTAATCCTTGTTCTCTGTAAGCACTGGAGACAAATATTGGGCTAGGATCAGGCACAATCTGCCTGGAAAAGGCAAGTAAGAAAAAGCTTACATCTGTTAGTGTTCTGTGCTGGCTTCCACCTTTGTTCTAATGAGCAAACTCAAACTGAGACAATCAGAATATTTAGGCTTTCCTTTTCACAGTTTAAGCACAACTTGAAGAAGTATCTATTTCTGATAGACTTATTCTGATGGGCAATATTGCTTTCCAAAAATACTTCCTGGAGAGCTGCCGAGGCAGCAACATTCAAGCCTTTCCCCCCCCTCCAGACTATTGTTTCAGCTTTCCCCCCCTTTTTTTTCTTTTTGTATTCCTCTTCAATCATTTAAGAATGGAGGTGTTTTAAACTACATGCCTTTCTCCATTTTGGGTAAGGATAATAAGTATCTTCTATATGTTTCTAGAAATCCTTCTTACCCTTGTTAGCCAGCATGATAAAATGACAATCTATATTTTTAAAGGTTCCTAGACTAAATAGCTTCTGTGAAGAAGATGTAATTGCTGCAACTTTTAATCAAGGTGGGACAGATCCTTCCTGAAAGAACCTTAGCAAGCCAACTTGATACACATAGTCCTTGACGAATGACCAGAATTGAACCCAAAATTGCTGTAATTAAGCAAGACAGTTGTTAAGTGAGTTTTGCCCAATTGTACGACCTTTTTTTGCCACAGTTAAGTGGATCACTGCAGTTGTTAAGTTAGTAACACAATTGTAAAATAAATCTGGCTTTCCCATTGATTTTGTTGTCAGAAGATTGCAAAAAATGATCACATGACCCAAGACTGCAATTGTCATAAATTTGAGTCAGTTGCCAAGTGTCTGAATTTTAATCACATGACTACAGGGGTGCTGCAACAGTCATAAGTGTAAAATACAGTCATAAGTCACTTTTTTT